AAGGTCGTCGTGTGGAATATCCCGCTTTTTCATGCTCGCATTCTCGGACAGTGAAGAGTAAAGTTTGAAAACTGTTAGATCTACCTTTGGAAACTTGTGTTTCATCTTTTCTTGTAATTTGTTTCGTTTCCCCAGTGATGTACTTTTTCACTGTACTTTATGTAACAATGTTTTAACGATTTATGAAGTCACTCATATCAAGTAGCTAATACTTTTCTGTAACGAATTCCGCTTTTTTAATTTTTTCACTGCGTTTGCATTCTGATCTCCGAGACTAGTGAACGCACTTTGTTTTTGCAAATCTCTCTCTTGTTTGAATGGTGTTTCTTGGAATAAATTATGAACTTTTAATAAATTTTTTCGTTCAAACAACTTCAGCAGCTACTACTGGCACCTGGGAACCTTGAAGGAACAATCGGAATGATTCTGAAACGAAAGGATATGCGTGAAATAGGAAGGGTGCAGCCAGCGATTTTCATAAAAGTGGCTTCTTGGTGTGCGAGTGTTGGCACACCCATGTGCTACCTTTCTTCCTATTCTATTCCTCTCTTTTTCCATCGCAACGTTTGCATAGGCGTCCGAAAGGAGACTGTTCTTAGCACCTTCAATTCACTAGGCTTCTATTTCGTTGAACCTGGCTTATGAGTGCGGGATTTCGTTAAGTAGCAAACGGTCTTTCATTGAGGGCCGCTCTCAGTACCCGCGTCTTCCGATCTTTAACTGTGAATTTAGGCCTCTCAGCATCCAATTATGTAGGGAGCATGGGCGCTTGCTTATCTGGTTGTTTTCTACCGAAAATTTGTTATGCAAGATTCTTCCAGGGTACAGAGAATCCCGCGTAAGAGATTGGTTTATATGGATTTTTATGATGCTGACATTTCCAGTAGCTTCCTTTCAATGCGTCCAAGTTGCGTTCTTTGGCTTTTTTCATGTAATGGATATACAAGTAAACGTCCTACGATGATTTTATCAGCTATCATTAACTAATTTTCAAGTATATACCTAACAGGAGAAACTCGTACATTTGATTTGATCATACCCGGTGCAATATCGTCTAACTCTCACAATAACAAGGTCTAGCGATGTGTCTAACACAACCTATTTGACAAACGACTGTGAAAAAACAAGCGAGAAGTGCGATAAACAGAAAAACATGTTAACAATCAACTTATTAACAAACATGTTAACAAACAACATATCAACAAACCGCCCAGAAAACCATCTGTAAAGCTTCTATAATAGCAAAAACAATGCAGGATATACAGAAACAAGACAGGATAAACAGAAAAAACATGCCCCGGTCGTCACATACACGGCACATGACTGTCGCACCTGATTGTTGAGATCGGGGTTAGCCATAATTGGTACGATCGCACCTAATTAAGAGGTGGCGGCACTTGGCAGCAATACAACTTCAATGAGGTGAGAAAAACTTGGTTCCTAACCTCGGAGTGACCTCATAAACGAGCGAGGGCTGAGAGGTCATCTTGTCGTCCTGCTATCTTCACAAGCAGAAAGGTCAATAAACTCAGAAGCGAGACAACAACAATAGACCACATGAAAGCAAAAATAAAAGCCCAATTGTTGCTATGTACTTTTTCAGTCAC